TTACGTAAATAAATAAACTTTAAAAAATAAAATAAGAGAGGGGCGCCTGGGTGGCGCAGTCGGTAAAGCATCTGACTTCAGCCAGGTCACGATCTCGCGCTCCGTGAGTTCGAGCCCCGCGTCGGGCTCTGTGCTGACAGCTCAGAGCCTGGAGCCTGTTTCCAATTCTGTGTCTCCCTCTCTCTCTGCCCCTTGCCCGTTCATGCTGTCTCTCTCTGTCCCAAAAATAAATAAACGTTGAAAAAAAAAATAATAAAAATAAAATAAGAGATATTCAGGGTTTTTAAATTTTACAACAACATACACAGAAAACATACATAATAATGGCACTACTTTGCTACCTTTGTATTCTGCTTCTAACCTAAAGCAGGGAAGAAGCTACAAGATTTCAGAGAAAAAAAAAAAAAAGCATAAGGTAAGAAGATATAGTGGTGCAGAAAGTAGAAAAATGAAGAAAAACAAAAGAGAAGAAGACGCCATGCATGAGGACACTGAATAATGGCTAGGCTATCACAGACCTTGAGTGCAATTATTAAACATGAGAGTATACACGAACCTTTTGGGAAAGACATTATGAATGGGGTGGAAAAGAAAGATAAAAGGCAAGAAGAGTCTCCATAGTCAATTTTGCCTGTATCTTCATTAGCCTGTGAGTTTACAGGACTCCCTCCCCTACTTGTGGAGAAAGCCACCCTGAATAAAATATTAGTCAAAAGTCCTAGAAAATGGAAAGACCTTGCTCATTTTCTATATTAAATAAGGTAAATTAATAGAAGTCTCTCAGCTTAAAAGATAGTGGCTTAAGAAGAATTAAGTAAGTTCTTCCTTACTTTCTCTCGTTTCTCAAAATTTTCCAGGATTTACAGAGCTCTCTGACAAACTCCTTTGTCCATGCGCACAGGTCATGTTAATGCCTCAGGGAGCTGCTCAGGAATTCCAGCTTGGGGATAGAATTACAATATATGTTGCCCCTGTCCTCCACCCTCTTTCTGCACCTTTGTTGTGGGCATCCTTGAAGGCTCTGTCCTTTTCCATCTGTCTTTTCGTCACACTTACAATATTCGCCTACTCTCGTGGCTTCAGTTTTTTTTTTTTTTTTTTTAAGTAATATTTATGCCCAACGTGGGGCTCAAAGTCATGATCCTGAGATCAACAGTCACATGCTTTACCAACCTGAGTCAGCCAGGCACCCCATGGCTTTAGTTTTTATTCTCCAGTAGATGAATCCTAATTCCACATTTGTTGTCCTAAACTCTTAACTTACGATGAAGAAAAAATTTTTATTGTGGCAAAATATATATAACATAAAATTTGCCATTTTTAACCATTTTTAAGTGTTGCAACTTAGTGGCATTAATTATATTCACAATGTTATTCAACCATCACCACCATTTGCATAACTCTTTCATCAGCTGGTCATGGTCATGAGCTTTTCATAGATTTTGAAAGTGTGAATAGGGATATGTAAGCATCAATTTCAAATAGCCTGGTTAGCACTTAGTACTTTTTTTTATTTTTATTTTTATTTATTTTTTTTTTATTTTTTATTTTTTTTTTTTAACGTTTTTTTATTTTTTGGGACAGAGAAAGACAGAGCATGAATGGGGGAGGGGCAGAGAGAGAGGGAGACACAGAATCGGAAACAGGCTCCAGGCTCTGAGCCATCAGCCCAGAGCCCGACGCGGGGCTCGAACTCACGGACCGCGAGATCGTGACCTGGCTGAAGTCGGACGCTTAACCGACTGCGCCACCCAGGCGCCCCAGTACTTTTTTTTAAATGAGGTTATTGTTACACTTACTCACCTACACTTACTGAGAAGGTAATAGAGATAATGTAGAAGAGAATAACTTTTCATTTTTATGAGGATGCTGAGATTCTATTATCTAAACAATTATGGCTTTTATGAAGCCTTATGAAGCTTTATTAAGTGCTATTATCTTCAAGTGGTAACCATTTTATTTCATTCATTTTTATTTAAAATATCAATAAAAATGTTTGAATTTAAAACAAGTTACACTGATTTCATTGGGTAGCCACATGGCTAGATCTGCTCATACTGGGACTCGGAGTAAATGATGGGACTTCTTGCTTCTGGAAACAATGTGAGGACACTGGTATCTGCCTCCTGCTTGAGAAGGAAATATTAAACACTCAAGTTGACACTTGTGAATTCTCTTATATTCTTTTGAAGGACCTTGGAAATAGTGTCAATAGATTGTTTATGGAAGTGTTAAATTAGGCAACCAAACCACTGTCACAGACTAGAGGAGACCAGAGGGACATGTCAACTAAATGCAGTGTGGTATCTTGACTGTGTCCTAGAGCAGAAAGAGGACATGAATGGCAAAATTGGTGAAATCTGAATAAGGTCTAAAGTTTAGTTAACAGTAACATACCAGTGTTGGTTTGTTTGTTTTACAAATGTTCTCTGGGAGTGTGAGATGTGAGATGTTAACAATGAGAGAAACTGGATGAAGGATGGGAAAACTCTGTATTATCTTGGCAACTTTCCTGTATATCTAAAGTTATTCCAAAATAAAAAAAAAAATTTACTTAAAAAAAACAGGCAGCCACTTTTATCCATTTAAAAATAACGACATAGAGGAGTGCCTGGGTGGCTCACTTGGTTAAGCATCTGATACTTGGTTTCAGCTCAGGTCATGATCTTGTGGTTCGTGGGATCAAGCCCTGCATCGGGCTTTGCTCTGGCAGTGCAGAGCCTGTTTGGGATTCTCTCTCCCCGCCTTTCTCGGTCCCTCCCATGCTTACAATCTCTCTTTCTCAAAATAAATAAACATTACAAAAATTTTTTTAATAAAATAACAATATAGAATGTATAATAGTGAATTAAATGTTTTTACTTGGTACTTACCCTGGATATTGTTGCCTGTTACACTTGGTGATACAAAGATAGTAACCAAGTAATCCAAAAATAACCAAAAATACTCCAGCAGCAATTAATCCAGTCAGAAGGCCCATGACATCAATTTTTTCTCTGTTGCCATCTTAAGAGAAGTCATTTAGTTAATATTTATTTAATATTTTAAAATCATTAAAAATATATACTAACTGGAAAGCACTACCTATGATTTCAATAAATTTAACACTGGATCTAAATATTCTATTAAGCATCTAATAATATTGATTTTTCTAAAAAGTCTTTGTGTTAGCGACATGACCCGAAAAATTTGTAAATGGCACTTTCTAAAAGTCCTAGTTATAGTTTCATTTATTTTATTTAATTTTTTTTAAGTTTATTTCTTTATTTCCAGAGACAGAGAGAGAATCCCAAGCAGGCTCCACACTCAGCGTGGAGCCCAACATGGGGCTCAATTCCTTGACCCTAGGATCACAAGCTGAGCCAAAATCAAGAGTTGGATGCTCAACCAACTGAGCCACCCAGGTGCCCCTCATTTACTTTAAATAGATCATATTAAATGAATAGTATTTAAGACTAAACATATTCTAGGGTGCCTGGCTGGCCAAGTTGGAAGAACAGGTGGCTCCTGATCTCAGGGTCATGAGTTCAAGCCCCATGTGGGGTGTAGAGATTACTAAATAAGTAAATAAACTTAAAAAAAATACTAAACAAAACATTCTTTGTCTAACTAGGCACATTTCAGTATTAAATACACAGATAAATGTACTAAGAAACACTAGCATAGCAATGTAATAAAGTCTCCTCAGAGCTGGGATTCTACCTGAGGGGAATGAAAGAGTTGGCAAAGAAGACTTGACTAAAAAGCAGCTACAAATGATAAATATAGATAAAATAAAGGATCTCCCCTCTGTAGAAGTTACTTAATTCTAACACTCTTAATTTACCTAGTAGCAGAAGTATTCCACTCACTTGCAATGGTAAAAGAGAAAAAAAAATTAAAATAGCTTACTACTTGGAACTAATGGAGTCCTACTTTTATTCTGTGCAAGTCTCGACTTAGCTGAGTTGTTTAAAACACCTTTAAGCCTATTATCTCATTTCCCTAGTATCTCACCAAACTTGATTTTCAGTGTGTAAAGATGAACGTGGCTTCCTCTGTCTTAGCCCAGTGTATAATTGAGAAATCTTCCCTGGGTTTACAAGGTATGTATGTTGAGCAACAACCAAACTCAAACAATGAAACTAAAATGTATTATAACAGAGAGAGGGTGGGAAAAACATTAAATTCGGTCAATTCTTGCCTTACCTGATTTTGTGGTTGGTCCTTTGATGGAATATTCTTGCCAAAATGCCAACTAAGAGAAAAGCAAACGTGCCAAGTTTATTTCATTGTTTTATTATCATTTCATTTGGTCCCAATGATCCACACAGGGGTGGTAAATTCTTGGCATGTGCCACAGGTAAGATACCAGTTTATTCAAGCTAGAGGGTGTGACTCATTCTAACTAAAGCACTAACACCCACCACTGTTTCTCCCAACTCTGAAATTGGTCAGGGGAGCTGGCCGTGCCAGCTCCCCACTGCTGTACCATGCCGTTCTCCCTTCACCTGCTCAGAGTCCCCACTCAGGCATCAGGTGAAACTATCAGTGGGTCAGTGACAGCACCAAAGGTGGGAGCTGAAACCGTGGACCCATTACCAAGTTTGAAAAGGAGTCTGAACTTTTCTGTGCTAGGTGGGCCCTAAGTTTGCTAGATTTTATTGAAAGGTATTGATTGAGAAAGACATCCCTGAGATTCTGTAAGTTCAGTGTTTCTTGAGAGAATGAAGCAGATTTTAAGGAACCATGATAAAATCATTCAATGGGTTTGTGACAAACAGAATAAAATTTCAACAGGCACAACTACAAAGTACGGACTTTGTTTTCCTTCTCCAAAAGATGTGGCAGATATCAGTGGGGAATGAGAGGCTGGGAGCAATTTTAGAAGAAAAAGGAACTAAGTTCCATTAATACCTGCATTTGAAGGATACCTGGAGCTCTTATTGACCAAAGAGTAAAACAGGACTCTTGAGGAAAGGAAAAAGGAGCTGTTATTTAATTTACAAAAGTAAAGAATTTGGATCACTTAACATTCTTTAAGAATGTGCCAGGTTATACAGGGATAGTGCTGTCCATTTTTTTTTTTTTTTTTTGTACTGTTCCAAGATTAATAGATAGGATTTAATTCTATTTTAAAGGAGAACATCTAGGGGGCATGTGGGTGGCTCAGTCAGTTGAGTGTCTGACTCTTGATTTTGGCTCAGTTCATGACCTCACGGTTTATGAGATCGAACCCTGAGTCGGGATCTGCAATGACAGTGTAGAGCCTGCTTGGGATTCTCCCTCTTTGTCCCTCCCCACCCCCTTCAAAATAAATTAAAAAAAGGGAGAACTTCTGAAAGTTTTTTCCCTTGAATTACACAGATATACCAAACAATAAACTCCTGAATGCAGAGACTATATATTTTGTATCTTCACTCTTTGGCAGAGCAGTTGACATAATAGATTGTTAATACATAACAGTAATCAGAAAAGATAAGGCCACTGATAGGAAAATTTCTGAGTCTAGAATGATTGAAGCTAACTAAGAGTCCGAGAACTAACTCAAATAATATCTTAAAATTTAATTCACTCTGCCTTATAATTGTTTTTGAATATAATAAACATTAAACACACAAAATCACAGCATAATTGACAACTTGCTAATTACTACAAGCCCATTTAATTAAATATAAAAACCAAGTTTAAATAGCTTAATTATCATTTTAAAGAAGTAAAGAGGGGTAACAGGTATACAATCTTGATTTTATTTTAACCATAAAATCTCTGATGACTGAGAGTGACACTTTAAGTATCATTTAATAATAATAATTTCCAGTCAATTAACATTATAAACCAAATTACCGTTTTGTCTTCATCCACAAAAATTTCTCTGGCTTCCTCATAATTACAAACTTCTTCTATGCACTCTCTTTCTAGGTCACCGGGTGTGAAGAGCTCCAAATCAAATCTATTGTATAGGAGGTGTCTACGTATGAAAAGGTTTGCTTCTTCTTTTGATGTGAAGACTAATAAAGAAATAGAAAGATTTCAAAGGTTGATAAAAGTAGGGCAGAAAATTTCTGTTTTAACTGTGGAAAAGTGAATAATTCTCTTGATGTAAGATTACACCAAATTTTCTTGTATGGTTTTAAGTCCTGACAAAAAGAAATCTCATCAGTAAAAATAATTTCTGTTATATATGAAATACATATACTAGCATAAGTATAATTTTGATTTATGTCCAAATTATTAGCATAAATTAAAATTATTTAAGTATCACTTTTCCCTCCAGACCATAACATTTCCAAGAAATGACAGGTCAGACTATTCTACTTCTAAAGGGTTGGCTCTCTATTATCTTGACTGAGAAAAATTAGTTTGGTGTCATGGACAGAGTATTGGACTAAGAGAAGACAGAGATTCTCGGTTTTGATTTGGCTTAGCTATTGGCTGTGTATCCTGGGATAGTCACTTACATCTCTGGTTTGCTATTTCTTCGTTTGTAAAATTGGAAAATGAACTAAATAATTACTAAGATCTTTTTATGTTTTAAAATTATAAATTCATACATTTATATTAATTTTTTTAATCAAAAAATTTTTTAATGTTTATTTATTTTTGAGAGAGAGAGAGAGACAGAGAGACAGAGTGTGAGCAGGGA